GGAATACCAGATCACCTGACCTGTCTATTAAGAAATCTGTATGCAGGTCAGGAAGCAACAATTAGAACTGGACATGGAACAACAGACTGGTTCCAAATAGGGAAAGGACAATACAAGGCTGCATGTTGTCACCCTGCTTATTTAACTTACATGCAGAGTACATCATGAGAAATGCTAGGTTGGATGAAGCACAAGCTGGAATCAAGATTGCTGGGAAAAATATCAATAATCTCAGATATGCAGATGACACCACCCTTATGGCAGAAAGTGAAGAAGAATTAAAGAGCCTCTTGATGAAAGTGAAAGAGGAGAGTGAAAAAGTTGGCTTAAAACTCAACGTTCATGGCATCTGGTCCCATCACTTCATGACAAATAGATGGGGAAAGAGTGGAAACAGTGACTGACTTAATTTTTTCGGGCTCCAAAATCACTGCAGATGGTGACAGCAGCCATGAAATTAAAAGACACTTACTCCTTGGAAGAAAAATTATGACCAACCTAGACAGCATGCTAAAAAGCAGGAACATTACTTTGCCAACAAAGGTCCATCTAGTCAAGGCTATGGTTTTTCCAGTGGTCATATAGATGTGAGAGTTGGACTATATAAAAAGCTGAGCACCAAAGAATTGATGCTTTTGGACTGTGGTGTTGGAGAAAACTCCTGAGAGTCCCTTGGACTGCAAGGGGATCCAACCAGTCAATCCTAAAGGAAATTAGTCCTGAATATTCATTGGAAGGACTGATATTGAAGCTGAAACTCCAATACTTTGGCCACGTGATGCAAAGAACTGAGTCATTGGAAAAGACCCTGATGCTGGGAAAGATTGAAGGCGGGAGGAGAGGGGACGACAGAGGATGAGATGGTTGGATCACATCACTGACTCAATGGACATTAGCTTGGATAAACTCTGGGAGTTGGTGATAGATAGGGAGGCCTGGCATGCTGCAGTCCATGGGGTTGCAGAGAGTTGGACACGACTGAGTGACTGAATTGAACTGAACTAACCATGGACAAAAATGTCTCACATTCTTTATTTCTCCACCGTGATTCCAGGAGGCATTCAGTGGTTCTCTGCTGCATATTTCTGCCTGAGGACACTCTTGATTTTCTTCCACTATTCAGCAGTACCCTTATTCTTCCTGTTTGTCCCTTTCCCAGTCTCTGTGTTCTTGGAGGGACTTGTAACTGACCACAACACTAAGTGTATAAGCCAGAAGTGACTATCATCCCAATGACCATAGTAATTGGTATAGAAGTAGGCACATGGATCATATCTGGCCAATAAGAATTTCTCCCTAGGGTTTGGCAAAGGATTATGGGCAGGGAAAGGACTCCCTTTGTCCTGGGATCACTGGCTGGGTTTATGTAAGCCTGGAGCTATCTTTGCCATACTTGATGCTCCCCCCACTCACACCCTACTATGTAGAATTTAGAAGAGGCCCATCTGCAGTGGGTGAGGATGAGCTGGATTTCTGTTGTTTATAGCTGAAGATTCCCAGCTAAAATGGACCACTGTGTAATGTACTTATTTCACAGACCAAACATTAGGGAAACTAATGTTTAGAGAGTTTAAGTAACCAGTCCAACATCACTCAGGAAATGGCAAAGCTGGGATTCTTATGTAGGTCTATGTGACTTAAGAGCTCTGCCCTTTATGGCTCACTTTACTGCTTCTGAGTGTGTGTTGGAGGGTGTTGATACTGAGAATGACAGGATCAAATGTCAAAGGCAGAGTGGAGGGTAAACAGGAAAGAATCAGCCCAAAATAGGAAGACCAGAATATGGCTGGACTGTCTTCAAAGGAGATGACGAGGCCAGAGGAGGAGTGAGGAGCCCTGAAGTCTCTTTTTGTGCCTGGAGCATAGTATCCTGGCTTGTGGGAGCTGATGGGGAAAATCTGGGGAGGAATTCCAGGGAGTTTGCTAAGGGGAGTCCATGTCAGAGCCGGTGAGCTGCGGAGGTGGGGTCTTTCTAAGGCCTTTGTGCCTTGGGCTGCTTGACTGTTGGTCGACTCTGGTTGTGCTTTCTTTGGTTTGTGTCTGATTTTCGCCTCACTGCCTGTGCAACAGAATCAATTAATGGAAGCTCTTTCCCTGTTTTATTCCCTCAAGCTCTGTAATTGCAGAGTTTTCTAAGCTGAAGACATACCATTAACAAAGTTATGGAGACATTCCATCACTGCTAACACCTCAGGCTATTGGTTCTAGGTTTCCCCATCTTTATCTTGGAAATTGTGGCCCTTCTCATCTTCCTTTCTGTTTCAGAAACTTTTTGCTTTGTTTTTATCTGTATCTGTGCTGGGGTTAAAATTATCTTTCCTTGAGTTACAATTTATTGAGGTCTTTGGTCAGTTGTTTCCTCTCTCTGGGCCTCTGTGTTCTCATCTATAAGATGGTCACAGCTGGAAGCTGGTTATTCTTTAAGGGACCAATCTGGTTGCTGGTTCTGATCCCAGAGTTGAAGGCATATGAACCATGAACAGTCCCAAAGGTCCTGCCTCTGCCCTATGGTCACATCCATGACCTCTTGCTGCTGTGCCCAACTCTTTCCATAGTGCCAGTCTCTGCCTGGGCCAAGGGGCTCCTTGGAGCTAGGTCACCCGGGCTTCAATGCTCTGCTCACAACCAGAGCTTCTTCTTCTTGACATATGTGGGCTCCCAGTGGGAAAATCCCTCAGCCCCATCTAATGGCACTTTTTAGAACACAGTGACCAACAGGGGGACCACATGTTTCTTCCCAAACCTTTCCCAGCACACTAACTGTTCTCAGCATTTTTAGCCACTTGACTTGCTTCAGTGGCAAGCCTGTTTCCTCTTCTTTCCCCCAAATGTAGGTCTCATTTCGGGGAGCTAATTGTCTTTCTTACCATGGGCCTCAGTCAGAGTAAACTGATTATAGACTTCAGAGAACTCCAAAGAATTCACCAGGGCTGAGAGAGAGTATCCATGGAAGGAGCCTCTTGGAAGGGGGCCCCCTTTGCAAAATTGGGCCCCCCTTGGCAAAGCTGGGCTTCCAGACATTAATGAAGAATATCTGCTTGCAGATATTCTTTGCCCTGGATGGCAAAGAAGTCCACTGGGTTGTTCACCACAGTTTCCAAGCAAGAAGGAAAAACCCTCTGCGGTTCAGGTCAGCTAAGGTTGCTGGGCAGGCACAAAAGGGTGTCCTATGTGTCTGAGATCCTGGGGACTGGATTGCATGGTGTCTGTGTTGAGGAGGCAAAAACTCATCCTCACGATAATAGGCACATGTTCTGGATCTGCATTTGTGTTTTCTGACCATAATTCCTCTTCTGTCATCATCATCTATGAACTTCAGAATGCCTTATCCACCATCATACATTCCTTACAGCACTGCTTCTGATCAGGGAACTCACGACATAGCAAGGGGAACATAACCGTCAGCTCATGTCCAGGGAGTTAACTGGTCTTACCACACACTTGGAAGTGGCTCAGTTCAGTTTAGTGGCTCAGTTGTGTCCAAACTTTGTGACCCCATGGATGGCAGCACGCCAGGCCTTGCTGTCCATCACCAACTCCTGGAGCTTGCTCAAACTCAAGTCCGTTGAGTTGGTGATGTTATCCAGCCATCTCATCTGCTGTCAATCCCTTTTTCTCTGGCCTTCAATCTTTCTCAGCATCAGAGTCTTTTCCAATGAGTCAGTTCTTCGCATCAGGTGGCCAAAGTATTAGAGTCTCAGCTTCAGCATCAGTCCTTCCAATGAATACTCAGGACTGATTTCCTTTAGGATTGACTGGTTGGATCTTCTTGCAGTTCAAGGGACTCTCAAGGGTCTTCTCCAACACCACAGTTCAAAAGCATCAATTCTTCTTTATAGTCAACTCTCACATCCATATGACTACTGGAAAAATCATAGCTTTGACTAGACAGACCTTTGTTGACAAAGTAATGTCCCTACTTTTTAGCATGCTGTTTAGGTTTGTCATAGCTTTTCTTCCAAGGAGCAAGTGTCTTTTAATTTCATGGCTGCAGTCACCATCTGCAGCGATTTTGGAGCTCAAGAAAAGAAAATCTGTCACTGTTTCCATTGTTTCCCCATCTATTTGCCATGAAGTGATGGGACCAGATTCTATGATCTTAGTTTTCTGAATGTTGAGTTTTAAGCCAACTTTTTCACTCTCCTCTTTCACTTTTATCAAGAGGCTCTTTAGTTCTTCTTCATTTTCTGCCATAACGGTGGTGTCATCTGCATATCTGAGGTTATTGATATTTCTCCTGGCAATCTGGATTCTAGCTTGTTCTTTGTCCAGCCTGGAATTTCTCATGATGTACTCGGAAGTGGCTGGCCTAACTGAAAGGTGGAATGGCTACTGAAGACTCTGTTGTGGAGCCAATCAGAAGAAAATGCCCTGAAAATGTGGGTTCTCTTTAAGGATGCAGAGTATGCTTTGAATCCAGGATCATTATAAGGTGCTGGCTTCCTTGAAACCAGGGTACCTAGGTTCAGGGGACAAGGGGTGGAGGTGGGACTGGCTTCTATCACTGCTTCACCTAGTAAGTCACTCACAGAGATTTTTGCTCCCTGTCCTGGAAACTCTGAGCTCTTCTGGTTTAAGGAGCTTAGTCTACAGGCGAGACAAAGGTGAACAAAGAACAAGATGGTTCTGAATCAGAAGATGAGACTTCAGGGACTTCCGTGGTAATCCAGTGTTTAAGGGTTCGTCTTCCAGTGCAGGGGTGTGTGTTTGATCCCTGGTCAGGGAGCTAAGAACTCATATGCCTCTCAGCCAAAAAACTGAAACCTAAAACATAATCAGTGTTGAAACAAGTTCAATGAAAGGCTTTAAAATGGTCCATGTCAAAAATATCTTTAAAAAAAAGAAGATGAGATCACACGTGGCCATTTTGGACTCCTGTGCACTGAACCTATAGGCCAAGAGAAGCTTGACCTAACGATCCGGGGGCTTTATTTATTCTCGTTGCCAAGGGGACTTGGGTGACTACTACATAATGGAGGCAAAGAGGACTGCGTCTGGAACCCAAAGGATTCTCTGCATTACCTGTCAGTAATTCCATGCTCCATAGTGAAGCTTAATGGAAAATCAAAAAGGGTGAGATAAGTGAAGACTCAGATCCTTCAGAGATTAATGTTTGGGACACACTACCAGGTAACAAGTTCTGATCACCAGAGATTTTGACTGAGGGTAATGGAAATATGATGTGAAGTGAAGTGAAAGTCGCTCAGTCATGTCTGACTCTTTGTGAGCCCATGGACTATATATAGTCCCTGGAATTCTCCAGGCCAGAATACTGGAGTGGGTAGCCTTTCCCTTCTCCAGGGGATCTTCCCAACCCGGGATCTAACCCATGTCTCCCGCATTGCAGGTGGATTCTTTATCATCTGAGTCACAAGGGAATCCTCCCTGTCTGTTTTATTCCTGTGTTTATTTGTATATGCCAAGCCTTTTCTTCCTTGCTTCCCTTCTTCCCATTTTTATTTTATATATGAGTTGCTCAAAGTTAATTTTACCACTTAGTCTTTAGTTATGTTCAGTGAAACCATAACTAAATTTCAGCAGCAATTACTATATTCAGTGATGTTACACAGTGACTGTTGGGACTGTGTATCTTCCCAATGTGAGGAAGGATGAGCATTTTTTCACTTCCCAAAACATAGCTGTATTTTGTCAAGTAAGAACAGAGAGTAGTTTGTTGTATACAGAGTCCTAATGTGTGCAGACGAATACAGAAGCTGGTGGGCTGTACCACCAGCTATCAATCTGTTGCCTCTTACTTCAAAACTCACCCTTTAGTACCTGGTCTGCAGTGGTGAAATGGACTCTTGAAACATTTATTCTTTCCAGTGAGCACATTGCTTAGGTTTATCATTAGAGGGCACTGGAAATACATCACAGGAGGAAAGGGCCTTCTCTTCCTGATTCTGGTTTCTGTGTTCTTGCTCCCACTATACAGGCCAACGCTGCTGCTTTTATGTACACGTAGCCCCAGGCCCTGGTGGAGAGGACATGCCACCAGGAGGCTGGCAGGTCCCTGCAAGGAATGATCCCATACCAGGGAGCTGGTGTAAGTCTCTGTTGTTGGTAGATTAGTTTCTTAGTAACGGCATTGGCAAGATCAGTCTTGATAAGGGGAGATCCATGGTGTTGAGCCCACGCATAATTTCTATTCCCATCACCATGGCCCCTGTTTACAAGTCCATTGCTGTTTTAAGGCAGTTCCTTATGGGGTAGTTTGTTATGCAGCCAAAACTAACCTATATATGTTGGAAGGAGCCATGTTACGGATTAGCTTCTGTGCTGGGCTAGGAATTCTGGGCTTTACAACACTGTTTTAGTGCAGGTCTGAGGCCTGATGCCCAGAGTTCAAATCTCAGCTCTGTCACTCAGCAACTATAGGACATCGAACAAGTTACTTAATGTTTCTCACCCCAGTTTCTTCTTCTGCTAACTGTGGACAACAATAAAATCTCTGCCTCAAGGGCTAGATTAAATGAGTAAATGTATTTAAAAATCATAGACTAGTGCCCAGCCCTTCCCAAGTGTCAGGGAATGCTGGCCACTTTTGTCAGCCTCATGTTGGGGGACCCCACTTGCTGTCTTTGCTGACCTTGGGGTCATCATCTGACTCACATCCCCAGGGCTGGCGAGGTGTTTGTGATTTTAGTCCCGTGATGTATGCCCTTGCCGGGCCAGGCCCTGGGTCTAACCAAAACCCTGGCCGTGGCCCACTGAGGCCCGTCAAGCTGAACCACAGTGGTACTCCTCCTTTCTTGTATACAGCCGAGATGGTCTATGTTTTAACACAAGCATTCACAGCTCTCACAGGGCTCCAGGGAGAATATGATTCCATATGCGCTGGAGCCATTTTGCCAGTTGTTTCTCTAAACACCTGGAACCTTTGGGTACAGACTGCATTTAAAATGATGTCGGAGAAATTAGAGATGACACCAGTGTTTATACGACAGTTTGGCTTTATGAGAGGTTAGCAAAGCGTCGAGCCAACTCCAGTGCGGGGGCCTCCTGGTCTGCTCTGAATCAGGGACAAGGAGACTGTTTGGTTTTGCCTCCTCCCTCCACCCCCAGCTCAGAGCAGGGGGACCCCGGGGATTGTGGGCAGCCTGAGGGTGGACTCCCCGGGGGACCTAAGAAAGTGGGGAGTCAGTGTCCCTGGGGAGTTCCAGGTGACGTAGGAATCAGGGCAGTGTGACATCCTCTTTCATCCTTATAATGAAACTAAGAAGAAAAGTGTATTACTTTTGTCACTTTAGGGATGCAGGAACTGAGGCTTAGAGAAGTGAGACAACTTGTCTAGGGGTCATGGGGCCAGGAGAAGTTCACTGCAGCAGCTCGGACCTGGGTCACCTCGGAGCAGGCACTCTCCATATGGTCTCATTTCACCTTCCCTGATCCTAGGGCATTGCTGTTGCCTCTGATGCTCCACAGGTGGGGAAACAGCCCTTGGGAAGGACCTGGAATTTTATCCCATGGCTTTCTGACCCCAGTGATCCTGTAACTGATGCCCTTGCATTGGCACTGAGTTACTGGGCCCCACGGACAGACCTGTTGTGACAACAAAAAGGAAGTCTCTGCCCTTGATGGCACAGGGAAGCCTTGGGCACAGGGGCTCCAGAGCACCTGTAGAAGCCCCCTCTATTCTGAACTGAAGGCCAGGGAGGCTCAGCTGGGACCTGGCCCAGGTGGTGAGAGAGGGCTCATCAGGGGCTTGAGGGGGGAGGTGTTTGGACACTCCTACCCGGGGGCCGCTCCCTGGGGCTCCTTAGGCATGCAATGTCCTGAGGGGTCAAGTCTCCTGATGACGACCCCACCAGCAACAGAGTGACCACGGTCATGGCCATCTCAGTCAACACTCACAGGATGGGACTCGGCGTGGAGCAGAGTCACGCTTCTCTCATCTTTCTTGTTCGCAGGGCCCATCTGGAAAACGATGGAATTTGCACTGCTGCCTGCAAGAGGACTTCTGGCCAGGGGCTCTGGCTCCCCGGCCCCACCCAGAAACTCCCCAAATTGGTCCACACACAACCGACCTGTGCAGCATAGGCTGGAGGTGTGGGTGGAGGGGCAGAGGGAAAACCGTGGAGAGGTGTGGTTGGGTGTGGACTCTCAGGGGCCCCTCTGGCCTGGGTGTCTCCACTCTCTGGGGTAGTTTCACTCTGCTGGTCACGTCAGCATCCCAGACCCAGGCAAGAGGGGCAGGCAGGCTCCTGGAGGCTGACTCAGGGCCATTTGAGCAGAGAATTCCGGGGTTCCCAGGTGACACAGTGGCAAAGACTCTGCCTGCCAGTGCAGGAGATACTGGAGACACAGGTTTGATCCCTGGGTCAGGAAGATCCCCTACAGTAGGAAATGGTGACCAGCTCCAGGATTCTTGCCTGGAACATTCCATGAACAGAAGGAGCCCAGTGAGCTACAGTCCAAGGGGCCACAAAGAGTCAGACATGACTGAGTGACTAAACACACACAGAGTGAGGTTAAAGACGGGTGGGGGTGGGGTTTGGGAGGCAGTGGTGTGTCCCCTAAAGCACAGATGCCTCTCCTGAGCTGAATTAAGGGTGTGTGTGCGCTCAGTCACTTCAGTTGTGTGTGACTCTGCGACCCCATGGACTGTAGCCTGCCAGGCTCCTCTGTCCATTGGACTTTTCAGGCAAGAATACTGGAGTGGGTTGCGTGCCCTTCTCAGGGTTATCTTCTATACCCAGGGATCGAACCCATGTCTCCTGTGTCTCCTGGATTGCCGGCAGATTCTTTACCACTGAGCCACCAGGAAAGCCTGGTTTAAGGGTGTTTGTCATCTCCCTTCCCCAGGTCCTGTCCTAAGCTTGCAGACCTAAAGAAGCCCACCCTGGTGGGCATCCCCTGCCAGAGCTGCCCAGCCTCCACCTTCACCTCTTTCAGCTGAGCCCCGTCCACTCCCCCTAGTTAGCCCACCTCCACTGCCCAGCCCGGGTCTGCCCAGCCCAGCGTGCCCATCCACGTGGCTCTGCTTGGATGGAGCTTGATCAAATCCTCTTAAAATGAGTTTTCCCTGTATGTCAGCCCCTCAGCTCTCGCTATACCAGTTCCTGAGCATTTAATAGGAGTGAAAAGATAGGAGAAAAATGCCCAGACATACATTAATTGAGATCAGTGCTGAGACTCTGAGAGGTCCAAAGGTTAAAGATGCAACTGCTGCTGCTCCTGCTGCTGTGAATGGTGCTATAATACTATAAATAATATTTATAATACTATAAATACTGCCTGATGAGGAGTCTCCATTATCCTGGAAGTGTCTCTGTGAAGAGGGAGGGGTGTCATCCCCCACTTCCTCTGGCCTCCTGACGGTTGGGCTGCAGGACAATCTCTGACCGTTGTCCACCCTGAGATCACAGGGATTCCATACAAACCAACCTGTACTGCCATGCGGAGTCTGCAGCTGGGTGCAATTCAGTTCAGCCAGAGTCGATCGATTTTTCCATCTTTCCTGCTGTAAGAGGACAAATAGGGTGGCAGTGACACATGCTGAGAGCCTCCTGTGGTCCAGCTCTCCACCTGGAGTGTCTCTCAGCATAGTTACAGTCACCTGGCAAGGGAGGAGGTGGAACACAGGGGGCTGCTCACTCATGCCTGGAATTGTCCACTGTTTATTGGGCATTTCCAAGCTTGGGACACATCCTGGGTGTGGGGAATGTGACCGTGACCCGGAAGCAGTCAGTCCTTGCACTTAGAAGCCAAAAGGAGGAGCTCATGATGGCAAGAGGGAACACAGGATGGGGGGCTTCCAGGCAGGATGTGGAAGGTGTACTGAACTGAGGTTGCAGATGCAGAGCTGTTAGCCAGGTGAAGAAGATTTGGAAGAGTGTTCCAGGCAGAGGGAACAGCAATGCAAAGGCCTGGAAGCTAGAGAGGATCAAAAGAGCCCAGAGTACAGAAGGCAGGTTGGAGGGGACCTTTCCCAAGTTCACACAGCTGGAAAAGGGCAAAGCCAGGATCCTAACCCAGGCTGAGCTGCTGCAAGCATGGGGCTTGCCATCATCTACCTGAGTGGATGGGTCAGCCTTCACAGCAGCTAAGAAAAGAGGTGACTCTTGAAGCCCAGGGCCCCGGAGGCAGCCAGGAAGCCTCATTCCTGGCTCTTCCCTTTAACGAACCCCAGAACCTAATGTTGCCTCTGCAAGGTCCATCTTTGTAACTGTCTTCATAGGCATTCCGAGGTCTCCACACGTACCACCCCACGCCCAGGGCAGGCAGGGCCCGGGAGCCCCTGCGCCTGGGAGCCCTGATGCAGCCTCTTCCCAGAGACACACTGGTCTCTCAAGGACCACACCCCATCTGCCGGATCTGAGGACTGCTCCTAAGGGTCTGAGACCTCACGGGCAGGGCGGTCGGAATTCACAATGAAGTGGTGCTGACATCAGCGCTGGGCATGATCATGGAGATAAAGGAGAATTCTCCAGGGACCCAGTGGGTGGTTTATACCAAAGGGAATTGCTTCCAGGTTTTTAGGGTAGCTGATGTTCTGCCTAATCCCAGATGGCAGTCTTTGGGAGATGTGGATTTGAATCCCAGCTCTGGCACTAGGCAACCTAGGTCATATTCTGTGCCTCAGTATCCCCATCTGTAAAAGGGGATAATAAGCTTGCTTTCCCACCTGGTTGTTGGGACTATTGATGGGATAATCCGTTTAAAGGTCCAAGGACAGCACCTGGCATAGAACTCTCCATCACTCAGTCTTCTGTGCTCCCACCATCGCATTCAACCTCTCCCCCCTTTATCACTGTTATCATTTTATCTTATCCCCACCCTTTATCACTGTTCATTCATTCACTCAGCTGCTCATTCACCAAGCGTTTCTTGACACCTGCTCTGGAACACCTGGGCTGCGCATCAGGGACCAGAAGACTCCGCTCCGAGCAGACCCAGTCTGGTGTGTGGAGGTAGGAACTCAAAGAGGTGCCATCACCCCGGATCACTCAGGCCCTGGCTCTGCTAGTCTGCTTCCTGAGGGCTTATAGGTAGAAACGATATGACACAGTTGGCAGAACCGTCAAAGCAAAGAAATGAGCAACAATAAAAACAGTCACGCGAAATGGGCTGAGAAGGAATAAACCGATGATGAGAACCAAATGCCACATTTGGGGGGTGTAGGGCCGTAAGGGGACCTTGGTAGGGGGGTTGGAAAGAACCTGAGGAGGGAGGAGAGGGCAGGAGCTTCCAGCAGAGAGAAAATTACTGGCCAAGTGCCCCCCAACCTCATGCAAATTACTTCACTCCAGTGGAGGTGGGGGAGGGCGGGGCTGTTATTTTACAGGGGAAGGACTGCAGCCCCAGAAAGGAGTGGAGTAAAATGGGGCCAAGTCACACAGCCAGGAAGGTTCCATCCAGTATCAACCCACCCACGTGGGGGCAGGGAGGAGTCAGGGCTGGAGAAGAGGAAGACCTTGTGGGACTGAGTGCCACGATCCTGATGAACGGCATGGGAGGCCCCTCTGACCCCCAGGGATATGACCCCAAGGGCTGCAGGAAGCACCTCTGTGGCCAGAAATGCCACCTGCAATCAAGGGGACAGAACAGCCAGTCCAGCTAACCTGGGAGAGTCCAGATTAGTTGTGTGTCCTTGGGCAATGCACGTGACCCCTCTGAGCATTTCTTCATGGGGTCTGCGGAGGAGCAGCACCAACTGGGAACTCACCTGCATTGACTCTGTGAGGAGAGGGGAGCACTCAGACCCATGTCAGAGCCTGTGCTCTTCCCGGTGCTGGGATCGCTCTCTGGCTCCTGGAATCTAGGACATGACCAGCTCAGCATGAAACGTAAGAGATGCGAAAAATGTTTTGCACCAGAAACTCTCAGATCTACCAGGGGGCAGGGTAATTTGTTCCTGATAAACCAAATGTCTTGGGTCACTGTTGGACCATTTTTAATGCTGAATCTTTTCTGGTTTCCTCACTCTCACAGCCTGCTAATTTCCAGTTTTCTTGTCTGCTTCCAATTATGCTTTGAGCCCTCAGTAGCCCCTTCCTTCTCTGTGGCATTTGTGAGATTTGTCTATGAGTTCTGCGCTATTCCAGGCTCAGGGAAGCATCCTGGAGTTTCCTGTGTGGAGAGAAGGTGACAGAAGGAGATGAAGACGTGAGCCCACCTGCCCTCCAGAGTCTGGCTCCCATGGGACCCTGGGGTGGGGGTGGGGCCCCATAGCCATCAGCACTGACAATGCATGGACACTCCCAGGGACGATGGAAGCAAAATAAAAAAGGTGACTGTCTGGCCCTGAAGATCAGGGAGGGCTTCCAGAAGGAGAAGACATCTGTGTTGAGTCTTAAAAGGCAAATGCCAGGTCCGAGTATGTCAAGGGGATTCACCTCCAAGGTCATATTCATTGAAAGAAAGAATGAATGAGTGAATGGATGAATGAATGGATCTAATCCAGACCCTCCGCTTGGCACAGAGCTGGGTCTGGTGCCCACCAGGCTGTCACAGCCTAGTGTGCCCCCCCCCTCAGTCCCAACAGACAGGCTTTCTGCTTTCCTGGGGGAGAAAGTCCCCAGTCCTCCTGCCGCCAGAGGCTTCGGGCCACCTGACCTCTCTGATATAGAGCTGTTGAGAGCCTTCTCCTGCAGCTGCACCCGCCAGGCTGAGCTGTTCAGGTTCTGGATGACGCGGAGGTGGGACCCGGATAAAAGCGCTCCATTTGGGGGTGGCCCACAGGGGCCACATTCTAGCAGAGCAGTCCAACATGAGTTAAATGACTGAGTGTCGTCATGTCAATGTGGATGCTTGTCACGTTCACACCCCTTTGGGGAAGCCGTTCCCCCCCTTTAAACCGAGGTGCTTACTCCCTCCTTCAGGTTTTACCGTCCCTCCACTTCCCTCCATCACAATGCACCTCACTGTGGCCTCAGGATTGTTCTGGAAACACAACTATTGTCATATCAATTCCCTCCATGGCTTTTGGACTCCACTTAAAACACAACGGGATTCTGCTGTTCTTGGGACAAAACCCCAGATTCCTTAGGGGCCTTTGAGGTACCACACAGCCTGCCTCTTGCCTCCCTCAT